AAAATGGACTGAAAGTAGGTATTTTTGTGTGAGCTTGTGTGCTAAATACTTAATATCTCTTTGAAATATCTGTTGATTTAGAGGAATCTCATACTCTTGATTTCTTCATACAAATTTGTTTCAGAATGTTATCGATTCATTGATTCCTAATCAGAAGCATTTAGAAATCTACAAGATTGCCAAGTTTTAGCTTTTGGTTTTGTAGCATGTTATTTTTTTAAAAAGGATAGTTTAGCTAAAAATCTTGCAATCTTGCAAAACTTTAATAAGTTTTTGGAAATTGTCTTTAGCACCTCAAGTAAAAGTTATTTCAAAATTTTGGATAAAATTTTTTTCATCTCTTTTGGAGAAAGATTTCAAAGATTTATTTCCTTAACTGTTGAAAAGACTGTTTTGTGTGCTCAAGACTACTTCTTCATGAAGTAAATTTTTTCAGAAGGACTTATGGAATGTTCCAGAGATTAACTTGGTGACTATAACTGTTCCTCTTGTTTTAATTCTGGATTAAAGTAGTATGATGTCAGATGCTGGTGGACTTTCCTTTGTTCCAGCATTGTGTGATGACATCAGTCTTCACATCAGAGACAATTTGAGCTTAGTGGTACAACACGTTCTTGGCAGGAGTTGTGATACTGGGATCAAGATTTTGGCAAGGACAAACTCCAGAGTGATCTCCTGGAAATGATTCTTGGAAAATTTGCGATTCTTGGAAAATTTGCATCTACTTTCAGATCTGAGAAATGATTGCCTGCATTGGTAGCAATTTGTATTATTTCTTTCCTAGAGGGAGCTTAGAAAGGCCATGGATTCTTGCAGCTGCATTTAGAAGTATAGATACATTCTTATCATACAGAGGTGAAGGAACTGGTTATTTTTGTGGCTGCAATGGAGATAAGGAGCAAACTAGCTTAAAATTTGTAATTTTAGTCTTCCATTTTTCCCTCTCTGAGGCTGTTGAGAAGGGGAGGAAGAATGGGTGAGTGGCAAGAGTAGAGGAGTTTAGGCTATGAGGTAGGGCGGGACTCTAATGGCAGTCTGAAATTAGAAATAAGCTTTTTTGAAGGGCTTCTCTAGAACCTGGGGAATTTGTCAAACCAGCTGGCTCTGGTGCACAGTGCTGTGGAGTGGAGGGAGGCCTACAGTGCTGCAGTGGAGTGAAGGAGAGCTAGACACAAGCATAGTGAGCTGAGAGCCAGGATTGCAACTTTGATTTCAAGTCTGTAGAGCTTGGCAGGTCTCTGTAATTTTGAGTGAGAAATATGTGCACCCCAACCTCAGTGAACATTTGTCTTTTTCTCATAACATTCTTTAACTGTTCTCTTTGGTTGCTCTCCCAGTGCTTTCCAGAAGGCAGCTTTCTGCAGGCTGTGTTAAAAGAGGATGCCTCTGGCCTGTGTCAGCTCAGGGATTTACATCACTATTTAGTATTTGGTACTCCTTTATTTACTTTAGGAATGTCGGTGATCACTGTATAAAAGGACGCAGAATAACTGTATCATATGAATACCTGTCTCAGTTTAGAAAGGGTAGGCCCTTTACAAATCCTTTATGAGCACTGCTGATAATCCTTGCAGTGTGAGGTCTCTCCTGGTCCTCCACCAGAGACATTCTCAGACGTTCCCAGCACCACCTCTTATGAAAACCAGTAACTGTTCAAACTTTCATGCAAGTCTGTGGTACTCACCATCTTTGTGTTTTCTAGAGGAGCAGTTACTTTTGCACTGCTTTTAAAGGGTTAATACATTTCTCAAAAAGCATTTTCATAGTTCTGTTCTGTGTTAGAGTGAATAAGTTCAAGAGAAATTCAGGCTAGATCAATTGTTCTGTTGGAGCACCAGCTTATTCCCATCTGCTGCTTTTGCTGAAAAGTTGGCAGATCTTTTCTGCAGAGATAAAAGGTGGCATAGCTGGATAGAGTCCCCCAGCCCTAGTTTGAAAAGCATGCAAGTGGCTGAGAAGTTGTGGGCGACAGCAGCTGGCTGCCAACAGACATCTTTCCTTGGTGCTCTTCAGACATGGGCAGAAAACGTTCTGTTGCTGAATGCCATGCACTGTAAATCTGCTGGACTCTTCCCTTTGCACATACGTAGCAGGGAAGGGTCCAGCTGAGACACCTATTCCCCTTCGCTGGGAAAACTGTCATGGTTTGAGCTGGCTTATGTTGGTGTCTAAGGACAGAACAGGACTACTCATCTCTTAATTTTGACTAAGAGATCATTCCCTAGTCTGCCAGCATTGCCTGGGGTCTTCCTCATACACGGGGTTTTAGAGGATGGTCTGTTATTTCAGAATTCACCAAGATTGTTACATTGCTGACCTTAAGCCAAATCTGTGCAAATCACAGGCATCCCATCTGAAAAGACTGACTGATGTGGTGGCTTGGAAAATCAGGGACAAACATGCAAAGAATCTTCAAACTGGCCTAAAGTGTTTCTTATACAGACCGTTTACTTTACAGAAAATATTACTGTTACTCCATTATGCCTCTTCCAAATATTAAAAATAAAAAAGGTATTTTCTCTGGCAGGACTTGCGCTTTAGGCTATAGATCAAACAGGTTGATACATTTTTCTGGCCTCTTTTATTTCTAAATTTTTTTGATTGATTTCTTTGTATTCTCATCAACATCTACTCATATTGCTTTTCAGTGTGGTCTGGCCAACAGTCTTGATACAGAGACAAAAATCTTAAGTCTTGTTTAACCAAGCTGGTAAGGAAGCTGTATTTTCGTCCTGAAGTGGGGAGTTGTCCTTGCAATACTGTTCAGGGGTTTTGTCTCAAGATTTTCCAAGTTTCTACACTAAATAAGTATTTAAATGCTACTTCATTAGCACTGAGGTCTGTTTGAACTCTTTTTCTCTGGAGCAGCAATTAAATCAATGACCAACATGAAGCAATCTTAATGTGCGATTACATGCAGTTACTTAAAGCATGTTGCTGCTGGGTTTGATACTCCATAACTTTGTCCTTACGACTGTACAGCTGGAGAATGCAGCTGGTTTTAGCATTGCTGAAATTTGGCTGACTCTGCAACAGCATCCAGGCCTTTTTGGACACTGTGATAAAAATACAACACTGCTAGTGCTCTGTTTTTATTATTAGTGGAGGTGCAAGTGCTAAAAATATGTCTTGCTTTCACGAGAATCTAAGCACAGACAATGCTGCAGAGAGCTCCTTTCTGTCTGTGTCTCATTTGCCTGATCTATATCTGGAATTGAAAAGGGCCAGGAGGCTTCCACATAAATCTTTGAGATTTCTATGTTCCCCTCAGTCTCAGCTTTGATATTCTTTCTTTATAGAAAATGAGACTGTAGCTGTTTTTGTATCAAAGAAAACCTCAAGTATGTGAAGTTGGATGTAGGTGATGCAGACAGAAGTTTGCACAGAGCTTGTAACAATAGTGGGAGGTGTGAACTAATGCCTTTACTGAGTGTTAGCTCAGATATTTAGCAGAGTTGTCTAATTGTGTATATTAAGTATTAAATTCCTTAGAAAGAATGAAAATACTAGAGACAGCAGAGCTGGATGTGTGGTGGGAGGCATGTTGATGGCTCAGACTAGTGGCATTTGGGAATTGCTTCTGGTTGTTGGTGTTACAAAGGAGAAGTCCAACACTAAACTTCATCAGGATAGGAACCAAAGAGTGGGGACTTTAGATTTTTAGTATCTCTAAGGTATATTTTATCCTGTAGGTAGAAAACCTGTCACACTTCATCCACATTCCTACTCTAACATTAAACAGAAAAGTATTAAAACACTTCCAAGTCTGAAAGTCTGAGACTTTTTTCCAGGAGTTCTGAATTCTAAACTGGTTGGTGGGGTTGGGTTTTTTCACCCTGGTACCTATCACTTGCAATCCTTTTTGCTTTAATAAACTGTCTTGAACCTGATTAAACATGACCATCTATATCTATGAATCTGTGGATGTGAAAGGTGAGGAAGGAAAAAAATTACATCTACTTATCCTTGTTTGGGGCCTGTGCTGCAGTTGATTAGCTTAATTAAGTTAATGACTCACTGGTTAACTCACTGCAATTGTTCATTTTTTCATTTTTTTACAGTATGCAACTTTTCTACGATGGAAAAGCTCTTTCCTCTTGATATCCCTAAAAAAAAAAAACCCAAAACCCCAAAAATGGGCATTTAGCAGGGCACTACTATGTGTATGTTGTATGCACACATCAGGTATGTATTCCATAAAGCTGATTCCCAAAGGAGAGTTTGATATTCAGCAAAGGAATTTTAACTGTAGAATGGATGTTAGGTACTTTCTTAAAACTCAAAAACCACTCCTGCATTCAGACTTGTTTTTGCAAGAAAAAGAAGAAACAGCAACAAAAAAAAGCAAAGCAGAACCGTTTTTTGATATACATGATAAACATGGATGATACAGATTTTTCTGCTTTTCAGATTTGAAACCACAAGAGACAGAATATTCTCTTCTTTGGTGGGATTTGAGAGCAGTTTGTTTCCTTAAATTTACTGACAGTGCTTAAGAAAATGATTTGTTTTGTTTTGTTTAGAACCAGGGGCCAAGCAGTTGCAGAGTTTATAACCCGAGACAGGGCTATTAAACAGACATATAGGCCATTTAATACACTAGAACAAGCTCAGAAAACCTCGTGAAAGAAAGAGGAAAACTAGTTTTGCAGTGGGACAATGGACCACACAATATGTGACTGTGACATGTCACTTGGAAGCCATTGCAATTTTCTTTCAGGCAAGTATGAAGACTTTACAGTTCTTTCATTGGATTATAAATCATTCTGTTTGCCATCTCTTTTTATAAATATCTTTTTTTTTTTTTTAATCCATAATCAGATTTGAAGCTACAGCTTCAGTGAAATTACTAATGAGGACAGAAATAAAGCTGAATTTTACACATCTAAAAACTTCAGTTCTCATGCAATAGTTGTTTGAGCCCAGCAACTGGATGGAAAAGGCAGGACTGCAGCTTTTGTCTTGAGGATGATTTGCTTAGCAGGGTTCCCCTGAGTTTACTGTTGATTTTCAACTGTTTCCAAATTCTTCATTCCAGAGCTTCTACCTGAAAAGTTCCAAGCAAAGTTTCAAGAACTGTTAAATACTAATATGTAGCTCCTCAGGAGGCTTCAATAAACGAATGAGAAGGATTTATTGTCCCATTTGGACAACTGGTAAATAAGTACATTTTGCCAGTTCCAGGAGATCAGAAAGAGGTAAAGTAGCATCACAGTAACCCTAAAGTCTTTATCTGAATATATGTGTGAGAACTTGTAATCTTCATAAGGGTCCTGCCCCAAAACTAACAGTTACCTTTATTTTGCAAAGACAGTGAGATTGGATATTGGAAGTGCGAAGAAAAAAAAGGCCAAGCCAGTCCTTAAATTCTGAGGCTGGTTCCACAGATTTTTAAAATTCTGTTTGTTAGTTTTCTTTTTCCCTGCAATAGAAAGTTTCATGGATGCTGTACTTCATTTTTCCCCTCTTACAAGACATGAAAATCACTATATAATATTTATACCAGATAAACCTATTTGTTTCTTTTCCCTCGCTTTCAAAAAATGCTTATGAGATTGCTGTCACTTAAAAAGAACAAAGATTCACTTCCTCTTACCTTGCAGGATTTGGAGAAAAAGTTTTTTTTCTGTTTGCTTACTCTGTGCCTCAGGGAACCTTCAGAGAGTTCTTTGGGATTTTGTGGTTGGGGTTGTTTGTTTGGTTTGGTTTGATTTGATTTGGTTGGTTTCTTTTAATGAAGTGAGAAAAGAAGGAAAGATGTGAAAGAAGAAAAGTGGAGTGTAAAGGAATCTATTTTATAGAAGTTAGAAATGCTTTTCTCTTTACTCTCAAAGTATTCTTTTAGCTTTTTTCTTTAAAAGCATAAATACGTGTGCAAGGGCACTGCTCTGTTTAATACTGTATAGTAATGTCTTTTCCATGTCCTTCCATAAATTCTGCTATCTTATAAAACCTGAGATATTTTACAGAGTGGGGGGAGTAAGAAACAGAATGAAAAGCATGCTAGATGCTGGTTGAGATTTTTTTGTTGCACTTGGAACGTTTTGTCCAACATCAGGCACGTCTGTGTGATTTCACTATCTCCTGCCCAGGCAATGGCAGGTACTCTGAGAATCTTGGTTCTGTTCAGGAGGAAGCTGTCCAAGAGCACTGGGAGCAGCAGCCTGTGAGCACAGCACGTAGGACCAAAACAGAAAGCTTTTGGAACTCCTCTTGGAAGGCCTTGCATACTCCAAATGCTAGACTTGTGGATGAAATATGACTCAGAGCACTGATCTCAGTGTCAAGAATCAAGGAAATGGAAAATAAATTATGTGGGAGACTAATGTGTAATTAAAATTTTAGTGGTAATCTTTTTTTTCAACAAAACATTGTTCTTAGAGCCAAGCAATAGTTCAGGTAACTGCTAAAAATTTACAGAGCATTTTTCTTTGCACTGGGTACTACGTTATTGTTATTTTCAAGCATAGTGACAGTTCATAACAGCAACAGTCTTTTGCAACTACTTCTATTGTTGCTTAGACAGGATCAGACTGGACAAGCCTTAGAGAAGAAATGAAGAGAGACAAAAAGTATTCAGTTCTATCAGGCATTCCCATCAAAGTGATCCACAAGAAGGTAAAGGGTTTTTTTTTCCATTTCAAGTATCCTAGAGATTAAGAGCCAAATCTATAATGGTGAAACTTGTTCTTTAAATATCTGTAATATTCTTGATAGTCTCCTGGCAGTTTTAAAGGAATAACTGTGAAGTGAACATGTGGAGACTGTAAGGCAGGAGTAAACTCTTATGAACATACCAACATTCTTGACTGTTGCAGGTCCTGGTACGAGGCATTCCAGAAACTCTGTTCATGACATATTTGGAGCTTGGCTGTGAGGCAGTGTCAGTTGTGCTTCCTTCTCCTATATTGCCTATATTGTTCCACACCTGAAGTTTCACATATTCAGACTTTCAACTCCAAAATCAGTGAATTATTCTTAAGTATTCTAATATCTTGACTAGGATTACACACTAATTACCTGGCCAAGAATGGAGGAGAGCCGAGTATTTTGGCTCATTAACCCAGTCCAATCTTTACACTGTACTTGCCACTTCTATTAATAATTATCAAATCTTCATATTTATCAAAGCAGGCTGTTCCTCAGGTAGAATTGTATTTGGTACTGTTGGTGCAGTTCTCAAGAATGTGATGATACTTTGTTGGAAGACGATAATAATTTTAGAATTATGTATATATATATAAAATTTGTTGTATTTCCAATCTGGATCAGCTAGATAATGGTAGTTTTCCCTTTCTGGGGAAGCAGTCATTCATGTGTGATAGGAAAGCTGGAAAGAACTTCCTTGAACTCAGCTCATTCCCAGGACTCACTTGAACAGTAGATTCTGGTTGTTTTTCTGTCTCCTGGCGAGCAGGTCCCTGAGCAACCTGATCCAGCCTCAATCAGCTGGGCTTTGAACAAATGTTGCACATGGGGAAGTCCTGAGATCTGTTATTTTCTATTGTTAATAGGAGCAGAATTAGATTTCCAGTTGTATTGTCTTATAGTTCCTCTCATTAGTCCTCTTCAAGAAAATTTACTTTCAAAATTTTAAAACGTTGAACTAATTCTAAGCTTATTTTTTGTTTTGAAACAAACGATCTTTTTGTCTTGAAACAATATTTTTGTCCGTGTTTCCCTGAAATAACACTTACTTATCTATTAGTAATGGATTTTGAAAATGTGTGAGTCATCATTAACTCAGTTTCATTAATTTCACCATGATTATTTATTATTGTTATTTGGAGTTGAAAATAGCCAAGCAGCTGTGACAAATTTGAGTAAGGAAATTAACTCGACATTCCTTTGTTCTCCTTTGCATGTTTTAACTGTGTTGATTTTGGTTTTTTAACTTCCTTTTTTTAATCTTTCATGCTTTTTCTAATACAATGCTGTGAATTGAAGAAAGAAAGAAAGGTTTATAAGAGAATTTCCAGATCAAGCTCAAAGCTGAACAGGCTTCAGGTTTTCTGGCTACTGTATACAGGCCTTCCACTGATAACTTAGGGTTGCTTATAGGTTTCAGACTGGTGCAAAGAGGTGATTTCTTGATAAATGCCAATCAGTGTTTTTGCTGAGCTAAAATATCAGAGGAGGAGGAGGAGTGTAACTCTGGGAGTTTTGGAACACAGCAGCACATTCATTTCAGGTGCAAACTACAACCTTATCTTCACATGACATCACCTGATTCTGCTAAAACTGTCCCACATCAGTGCTGGGAACCTAAGAAGTAAGGCTTTTATTTCAGTAGCTGTTTTCCAACCTGTTCAGCATCTACTAGGACAAGTGAGATGGAATTAATAATTACTGTAGTTGTAGAATCAGTGTCTGCAGTGGTGATTTCAGTCTTACTTACAGAATCACAACACAAGTCTTAGAAGTGTGGCGGTTTTCTTGGAAAATGTCTGTGGTGGAGAACATGAACATGGATTGGCTTTTACACCCAAGTGCATTTTCAGAGGTTTTGCACACTCATAGGGCTTTGACTTCTAATCCAAATGAATTTTTGTATCCTTTTAGAATTAAGATGACCATAGCATATTGCATTAATAAAAGGAGAAATGTGAATTTAAAATATACTCCATGCTCACGTATGGCCTTATCAACATCATCAACAGAAATGCACAGATTTAAACCATTGAGAAATTTGGCCTTCTATTTCATTGACTTCTTTTCAAGCCTTTCAACAGTGGGAGGCAAAATGACTTCAAGTCAAAAATATTCTCATGGGTTCTGTGGCAAAATGGCTTTTCCTAGTATTATGAATGACATAAGTTTAATATCTGGTAAGAAAAAAATACGTGTTTATACTAGGAAAATTATCTCTTGCTGATAATAATTGTCAGCAGTATTGCAGCAGAATCCCAGATAAATGTGGGTTTGCTGCCAGCATACACAGGGACAAAATGTTCAGAACCATTTTGGGAACTGGCATCGATCTGGCACAGTCTGCACTTAGCTTGCAATTGCATCCATCCGAACCAGGAATAAGGAATTTCTCTGATGTAAACAAGGATAAAGAGAAGGAAATTATATGAAGTTATAAGAGTGAAGCAGGAGAAGTGTTGATGCAGAGTCCAGTTGCTTAATAACAAAGCAGTGAAGCAGCTGCCAAGAGGGAGTGATTGCCCTCACAGAGCTCTCTGGGAGTCTGCAGACACCTTCACACATTCTGAAGTGCTGTGAGTAAAAGATCACTGTGTGTAGTTTTCTGAGCTGTTAAAATGGTCATATTCAAACTTCCTCTGAGTTTTGAAGTTGTGAGGAATGGTGCTGTATTTTGACAATTAGAATGCAAACCATAGCACAGCATATTATATTTTCCATAAATACTGCATAGTATGAGAAACAGAATGAAGATCCTCTAGGGAAAAGGATGCAGAGAGCTGGCAGTGAATTGAAACTGGTGTTTAGAGAACTATCTCGGGATTAGTCTAGATGGCTCTTGTAAACTTGACATTTGGAAGAAACTCAAGGAAGAAAGTTGAATGGGACAGAGGGCTGGCATAGAAGTTTCAAAATGCTTTGTGAAATGCACAGCAATAGAGAAAACTGCATAAGACTTGCACATACAAAATGAAGTCAAAGGCACCATGATAACATGTGAAACAACTGTCAAATACTCAATAACATGCAGTGGAAAGAATAACTTTAGCCAATTGTGTAAATTGGCTGTAAAACAGGAAAAAGATGATCATTGACTCAATGAAAATAATGAAATTATTTGTTCAATATTAAGCAGCAACCAGAGAAACAAACTACCTGTGTAGGAGTTTAAAGAATGGGCCAGAAAGTAATACTGAGCTTGTAGTGGTTTAAGTTTGCTGCAGCCACACCCAAGCATTATGAGGAAATGAAAAGGCACCAAAGTGACCTCAAGTTCCAGAAAGACACACGAAAGAGGGAAATAGGATTGTGACTGTTGAGGACAAAAGGCCTGACTGGTGTCTTTGTACTGGTGTGCTCTGAAATAGCCCACCTGTGTTTTGTGTTTCTTTTCACCTT